ATCTCCAGCGACTCTTAATGGCTTCCAGGTGTGAGTTGTTCAGGGGCAACCACAGCCTTGATTGAGTCTGGCCAAGGAGGTGATTAAACAGCTCAGCTTCTCTTACTGCCTCATGGTGTCTTTGCTTTCCTGACCACAAGCTCCCTGCCTGTGCCCACGTTTTCCCCTTTGGCTCCAGTCTTCTGTGTGCCCGGTTTCCATTCTGTCCCAGCCTCCAAGCCCTCAAAGAACCACATTATTTTGAGAGCCTCCGTACTTTGGTCTAATTTTCCCATGAGAATGACCTCTAGTTTGACCAATGTCAAGCCTCCTTTTAGACCAAAGAAGTTCACCAAGGGTCAGAATGATGTGAACAAGCAGTGAACGACTATCTCCCTGGTGTACAGCATTCTTCACTTGTGATTCTCTCAACTGTTTTCAAAAACAAAAGACTAAAAAAACAAAATTGGAAAGATTGAAGAGCATTGCCACAACCTAGTCTCAGCCATGCTCAGCCCAACTGGAGAATATGGCACATAGAGGGTGATTACTGATCCCTCCTCCTGTCTCCTCCCCAAATGAGAAGATCCAGGGTGTTCGGACAGGGATCAGATAAGTTGTAAGTTCCGAGTCCACTGAAATAGAATAACAATACCTTGAGAAGCCACGAAGTACATCCTAAGTGTATAAATACACAAACAGGAATATTCTAGACCTAGTAAAGTAGAAAAAAAAGGATTCCCCCTTGTCTCTGGCCTGGTAATTGGAGGTTTCAGAGCAAATGGTATTTGCCTCAGTGGCCTCCTACAGGAAAACCTTTGTTCTTTCATTGTTTCCCATTCACATACACACAACCATTTCTTTGGGGGCTCAGAGAAGGTCTTTATAGGAAAGCAGCCCTATCTTTAGCATAATTGGCTAAGGGCCTTGGTTGAGCAGACCCCTGACTATCATCAGCCATGACAAAGACAGGGTCAGGTGTGTGCAGGCCCAGGACTAGCACAACACAGCCCCAGAATGGCTTCCAACCATGCGATCTGGTAGACCAGATGGCCCACAGAATATCCTTTTAAGAAAATTAGATTTGGAAATGTCCATAGTAAACATGTAGATAAATGTAACTAAAACAATCTGTCATGGACTAAATGGGAGAATACATCACCACTGTAACCTCTTGTTCTTCAGGTACAACTGTAAAATCCCCATTATATGAAGGAAAAGTCAGCATTGTGGAATGTTCAGGGAATCTGGGTATTTACACACTAAGAAGGCAGGCCTGGGGGTTGGGAGGAAAGCAATAATTGGAAAATTTAGGAGGAAATGTATATGGGGGTGAGAAATTAATGGAGCAATTATCATTTTGTATAAAAGATAAGTGAGGGTCCTACAGAATGGTGCAATCAGTCATTGTGAATGGAAAAGGAATGAAAGTGGGATTTGGGCGTCACGTACATACACATGGCAGCTAAAGCTACCAGAGTGCATGAAGCCTCAAGGACAGGACATAGAAGATAATAAGCCTAAGGTCAGGAAGTGAGTCTTGGGAGACACATTAGATCTGAGTGGAAGAAAAGTTCCAGGAAAGAAGACAGAATGGTATGGAGCAGTGAGGGATGTGAGACAGAGCACAAAAATACAATAATGTCGGCACCACATATCAATGGGGAAATATGGACATAAAAATGGAGTAATTATTTTAAAAAATATGTTTACATTTTTACCTAATACCATCTCCAAGGGTGAATGCTGGATCTGTGCTGTCCAATACAACAGCTGCAAGCCACATGTGGCTACTGAGCACTTGAAATATGGCTAGCTGAATTGAGATGTGCTGTAAGTGCAAAATGCTCACTGGATTTCAAAGACTGAAGAGGAAAAAAAGATATCTCATTAAGAATTTTTTTATACAGAGGCAGAGCTGCCTCAAACAGATTGTCAAACTGCAGCGGGAAGGCCGGGGAGGGTTGGGGGGCAGGAGGGAGGGGGATAAGAGATCAACCGAAGGGCTTGTATGCATGCATATAAGCATAACCAATGGACATAAGACACTGGGGGGTAGGGGAGGCCAGGGGATTGTCAAGGGCAGGAGAAAAAAAAGGACATATATGTAATGCCCTTTGTAATACTTTAAGCAATAAAAAAAAAGAATTTTTTTAATATATTTTGCTGATTTTTTACAGAGAGGAAGGGAGAGGGATAGAGAGTTAGAAGCATCAATGAGAGAGAAACATCGGATCAGCTGCCTCCTGCACACCCCCTACTGGGGATGTGCCCGCAACCAAGGTACATGCCCTTGACTGGAATCGAACCTGGGACCTTTCAGTCCTCAGGCCGACGTTCTATCCACTGAGCCAAACCAGTCAGGGTTCATTAAGAATTTTTATATTGCCCTGGCAATATAGCTCAGTGAATAGAGCGTTGGCCTGCAGACCAAAGCATCCAGGGTTCGATTCTGGTCAAGGTCAGGCTCCTCCCTGGCCCAGGCCCTGGTTGGGACTCGTGCAGGAGGCAACCAATCGATGTGTTTCTCTCATATCGATGTTTCTCTCTGTCTTCCCTTCTCTCTCCCACTCTCCCTAAAAATCAATGGAAAAAATATCCTTGGGTGAGGATTAACAAAAACAAACAAAAATGAATTTTTATATTGATTATATGTTGAAATGATCTTTTAGCTATATTGGGTTTCAAAAGTATTAAAGTTCATTTTACTTTTTAAATGTGTTTACTAGACAATTTTAAATTATGTATATGGCTCACATATTTCTATTTGGACAGCACTGCTCAAAATGAACTACAGACCTAAAAGTGAAAGGTAAAAACATTAATGTTGCCCTGGCTGGTTTGGCTCAGTGGATAGAACGTCGGCCTGCGGACTGAAGGGTCTCGGGTTCGATTCTGATCAAGGTCCTATACCTTGGTTGCAGGCACATCCCCAGTAGGGGACATGCAGGAGGCAGCTGATCAATGTTTCTCTCTCATCGATGTTTCTAACTCTCTACACCTCTTCCCTTCCTCTCTGTAAAAAATCAATAAAATATATTTTTTTAAAAAACATTGATGTTAACAAAATATAAGACTGAAGAGGGAATGATGCTAGCTCTCCTCCATCTCCCGCACAGATAGTCATCATTGTTTTCACAGTGATAGGTGGAAGGATGGACTGGTTTCTAGAGAACAACCTAGCAATTTCACCCTGAGTTTATACCCTCCCAGATTCTCACATGGATCTGTTAGGGCATTAATAATCAACATAAGGATGCTCATTTCAACCTTGTATCCAATGGTGGGGAGTTGGAGGTAAACTGATGCCCTGCATTCAGAGATGAATCGGAAAAATATGGTGGTTGCATACTATGGCGTGTTACTCAGTTGTTAGATATGACACAGTAACATCGCACTTAGTGAAAAAAGTTAGAAACAATGAGCTCTACAGCACAATTTACATAAATTAGAAGAAACCAAGTGTAAAAAGATATTTGCAAGAACCTAGGGGAAAATTGACTATAAGTATCAGATAATATTAGCATAGCATACGCTGGGTGTTTTAATTAGAGGCAGATAATGAGGCCTCCTTCATAGGAGAAATTACATTATGTCTGGGATTTGCTTTTAAAAACTCCAGCCCTCCTCCAAAAGAGTACAGGGGCTAGATGAAGTATCAGCAAAATGTAATGGTCAAATCTGGGTAAACGGCCCGTAGGAGTTCATTATAATATTCTCAGTTTGTGCCCTTTGAAATTTTCCACATAAAACATTTTAATGGAAAAAGCAAATGTGCCCTAAGAAGACATGCCTTGCAAGAACACAAACAAATAATACACATTAAACTCATTAGAATGATTGTCTATGAGGGGCAGGGAGAGGAGATAAAAGGGAATAGATAGGAGTAAGGAAACAGGTGGGGCCCTGCGCGACTGTGTCCGTGTTCCCTGGTGCCGCCTCCTCACCATTGGCCACGCGAATGGCCAGATCCAGCGGCACGCGGAGCCGCAGGCGCTGCGCCTCGAGGTGCGCGCCGGCCCGGAGTCCGCAGGCATCGCCCTCTTCAGCCATGAAGTTTTATGTGCATTCAAGTGCTCAGTGTCCCGTGAGACGGAGTGCAGCCTCGTGGGCAAGCATCCTTTCCTCATCACCCTGGGCTGCAACAGCGGCCTCTTCCAGTTCGCTACACCCCATGATTTCTGTTCCTTCTACAACACCCTGAAGTCCTGCCGGGGCCGTACCCTGGAACGGGCGGTGTTCAGCGAGCGGACGGAAGAGTCCACCCAGCAGTTTTTCCAGTTTCATGGCCACCTGTCCCAGCAGCAGAACGTGGTGCAGGACTACGTGCAGCAGGCACCTACCAGCGTGCGCTACTGCAGAACCACGCGGACTTCAAGGACAAGTGCCATTTTTTGCCGCCCAAGCTGGAGCAAGGAAGATCTACACAGATCTACACGGTGGAGGCCAGCACCACGGCCCAGCGCGCCGCGGTCAGCGGCCCACTGGAACCCCTGCCTGTCCTCCTCCTTCAGCTATATGCCCGCTCTAACCCGGGAAGCTGGCCCCGCTGGGAGCCCCCAGGAAACCTGACCCCCTGGATTTAGGGGATTGTGGGGACATCACTTCTCTTTGGTCTTTTATCCCCAAAACCTGAGCTGAGGTGGTGTCCCCTCCATGACTGGTAGTCAACTGCTGGGTTCAGGGGTGATTTGGGGTCTTCAGAGGCTTGGTGGCCTTGTGCTTCAGGGGACTGTGCAGTCACACAGGCCAGTGGCCTGCCTCTCTGAACCCCACTTCCCACATCTGTGAAATGTGGGTAACAACAGGGTTTCATTTCATTAAAGCTGTCATTTTCTTTGTTCAAAAAAAAAAAAAAGTAAGGAAACGGGAAAGAAATGGAATGGTACAGAGCTATGCAAAGAAACTGTATAAAAACAGAAGAAAGGATAATGAATGAAATGAAAGTCTAGAAGGGTTAATACTAATCAAAGGACATTAGTTTTGGTGACCTCAGAAAATTCTGGGAATTGGAGAGAACAGAACCCAAAACACAGTGCATAAAGGTGGGTGATGCAGGTTCAGAGCCTCCATTTGTGAAGTCGGTATAGTGAAGATGAGTGAAAGCTATTTCAGAAATAGCTAAGAAGGTCCCTATCCATGTTTTAAACGTTTGAGGGTGGAGAGAAATTGGAAGTGGCCAGAGAATAAGGGAAGGAGAGAGGTAGATACCAGTAGGTGGGAGACAAGCATGACTGTTATTAGAATTGCAAGAACAGTGCCTCTTCTGAATTAGTTGGGAAGCAAAAAGATCCCAGTGAAAGAAACGTATCAAAATAGTTGGGGAGGAAGAAGGCAGCCTCAGGAATTCGTGCCTGATGGTATCAGGACAGCTTCTATGAAGCCATCACAGTGAGGAACGGTGACTGACAATCACCCTGGCACGCTCTACTCAGAGATAAACGGTCCATCTCTCCACAAACGTCTATTCTTTGTCCAAGGGCGACAGGGAGTAACCCGCCTGATAGCTCCCCTTTGGCCACCAGGAGGTGCCCTTAGACCACAGCTGAATCTTAAAGGCGCGCAGTGCCCTGGGACTCACAGTTGTCTAGCCCAGCAGCTTAGTGTGGATGTGGAGCCCCTACCCCCACCCGAATCAAGGCCGCCTCCGGGCCTTTGCACCGAGTACTCCTTCGGTGCGCTCACCACAGACGCGGTGCTGCGAGGACACAGAGCTCATACCCTGGCTAGGGAGAAAACCAGCCACGTCTACACGTGAGCAAACGGAACATGACTCCGGGGAGCCTTGACAGAATGCCTCCTAGAGCTATCCCAGCTCTGCCGGCTTTGGTTCTACTTCCTCATCAATGAATAACATGTTTGCAATGGAAAAAATCTTAATTATGTTTAAAGCTTTACAAAAAAATGACTAGGTTTGCTCAAAATGTGTATTTCTAAAATGTTGTACCAAGCTGGCAACCCTTTTTAGGGGACCCAGTGAGGTAACTTTGTCATCAGCTGCCGGCCCCGCACCCCCGTTTCAGCAGCCCTTACAGCATCCCCCATTGTGATGGCTAGTGACACCGGCTTTCTGATTTCACCGAGGCAGCGTTTGCGTCCGGAACCTTTCTGACGCGTGAGCGGCGACCCCCGCTTCCAGGGTGGTGATTGGCGAGTTGGGGCCGGGGGCGGGCTGACCTCTGCTCCGCAGCGCCGTCACCAGCTGGCCCCGCCCCCGTGTCGGGGTCGCCGGGAGCTGAGCCAGGGGCAGTCATTTACATGCGGCCGTGGGATTGGTCGCCCGGCTCCCGCGAGGGGGAGGGGAGGGGAGCGCGCACTGGCGCGTGCGTGAGCTGGCGCGCGAGGACAGGCCGGGTCGCGGAGGCTCGAGCGGCCTTCGCCATTTTGTAGGGTCTCTCTGACGCGGAGCCGCCGCCCCCGCCGCCGCCGCCCCCCGGAGGTAAGAGGGGGTCTTGTGGGTGTGTGGGGAGCCCGAGGGCGGGCTGGGGCGGCCCACGCCGGGCCTCAGCGGACGGAGACCGCCCCGGGTTGTCTGAGGGAGGTCCGGGGAAGACAACGGGAGGAGGCGGGGCAGGGGTCGGGTCGAGCCTTTGTTGGGACCGAGGAGCTGCAGGTTGGGCCGCTGGGGAGGGCGAGGGGGGAGGCGGGAGTAGGGAGGTGTCCTGGATTGGGGCCCAAGGGGCCTTATTTTGAGAGTATCTTGAAAGGTGAAGCCTGAGGGAGGAGAGGTACACAGATTTCCCTCCAAAACCTTGCGCCCGGGGACACTCAGATATGTGCCTCTGGACCCTGCTTGAGCTCTTCTCTTTCCTGCCCGGAAAGAGTATTTTAAGATGTGAAACGGCTAAGCCTGTCACTCAAATGCTCCTCATTTCACAGAGATGATGGAGAAGGCAATGCATACTGACCCCGACCTCCAGTTTGTGTGCCCCACACAGCGCACACGGCTCCCTGAGAACAACACTTTCCCCTTCTATTGAGAAAAAATAACGGACGCCTATGCGAGGGTCTTGAAGGCACCAAGAACGTACGCGGAGGATTTAACCAAAGGCAACGCACTGAGGTTGTCCCCTGCACCCCTAACTTCTGGAAATTTTGTTTCTTCTCTCTCAGGCTCTCGTCAGGATGGTGAAGCTGTTCATCGGAAACCTGCCCCGGGAGGCCACAGAGCAGGAGATCCGCTCACTCTTCGAGCAGTACGGGAAGGTGCTGGAATGTGACATCATTAAGAACTACGGCTTCGTGCACATAGAGGACAAGACGGCGGCAGAAGATGCCATCCGCAACCTGCACCACTACAAGCTGCACGGGGTGAACATCAATGTGGAAGCCAGCAAGAATAAGAGCAAAGCTTCAACCAAGTTGCATGTGGGCAACATCAGTCCCACTTGTACCAACCAAGAGCTTCGGGCCAAGTTTGAAGAGTACGGTCCAGTCATCGAATGTGACATCGTGAAAGATTATGCCTTCGTACACATGGAGCGGGCAGAGGACGCGGTCGAGGCCATCAGGGGCCTCGACAACACAGAGTTTCAAGGTGAACTGCTCTGGGGTCTTGGTGGCAGAACTGAGTGGGGTCTAGGTCAAGACAGGCAAGAACACAGGACCATGGGGCTGGCAGGGCGGTTCCTTACATGCTATTTTAGCTGGAAATAATAGGAAGATTGTATGTCTGCCATTCTTGAGATTTGCCAAATCCTTTTCAGATTGTTGACAACTACATAGAATCACAAACTCTGGGTTACTTTATCCTTCAGGCTTCACTCATTTCAATGCTGTTGGAAGTTAAATCTGCCTGGGCATGAGTACCTCATGGGAGAAGGGAGGATAAAAGTCTGGCTTTTGTTATGGCCAGGAAGCCTTATGTTTGAGAGGTTAGATGTGTAGAATTTATACTCTTTACTACCATACATGATGGGTTGTGGTAGGCAAGAGAAACAAAAACATGTGGAGGAATCCCTATGTTATAAATTTGGGCGGTGAATCTGGACGGGGGGGGGGGGGGGGGGGGGGTGTCTTTTGAGTGCTCAAATTTGTTCAGCTCAAGCAGAGCCAGAAACGATGGACTACAGATTCTCCTCAGCTTATGTCCCAATAAACCCATCACAAGGTGGAAATATCTTTTAGTTGAAAATACTTTTAATACTATACCATAGAGCAGCGGTTCTCAACCTGTGGGTCGCGACCCCTTTGGGGGTCGAACGACCCTTTCACAGGGGTTGCCTAAATACATCCTGCATATCAGATATTTACATGACGATTCATAACAGTAGCAAAATTACAGTTATGAAGTAGCAACGAAAATAATTTTATGGTTGGGGGTCACCACAACATGAGGAACTGTATGAAAGGGTCGTGGCATTAGGAAGGTTGAGAACCACTGCCATAGAGTATCATTTGTTTGCCCTTGTGATCACATGGCTGAAGGAGCTGTGGCTGGGGCACCACTGCCCAGCATCATGAGAGTATCGTACCACATATTGATAGCCCAGGAAAAGATCAAAATTCAAAATATGGTTTCTACTGAATATATTGCTTTCCCACCATCATAAAATCGAACCACCGTAAGTCAGGGACTGTCTGTATTCTCCCCCATCTATTATTTAATTTTAAAGGTAAACAATTCTAAAATAATTAGATTGAATGGGAATGATGGTCCTGCTTCTAAGGAGATCCAGTAAGATATTCTAGTAAATAGTATGTTATTTATACCAATCATAAAGGTACAGGAGGTCATCTGATAACTCTAGAACTGTACTGTCCACAGATAGCTATTAAATTGAAATTAAATAAAATGTAAAATTCAGTTTCTCAGTTGTACTGCACACATTGCAAGCACCCAGAATGCACAAGAGGTGAGTGGCTACTGTATTAGTGCAGATATGGAACACTTCCATGATCATAGAAAGTTCTGTTGGACAGCACTGTTCTACAAGGTTTTTGTTGATGAACTACACATTTACAGCCACTTCTCAGGGTCATAAATTAACACCATTTTTTGTCTTGAGTGCCACTAAAAGAGTTGTTAAGAAGTACTTAAGGGCCCTCTGCTAAACCTAGAAAACAGAAACGAAATGGAAGGAGAGGAAAGGTTGACCAGAAAAGGGTAAGAAAGTTTGCAAATAGAGGAGATTGCAGATAGTGCAGCAAATATCTCTGGTCACAGCCAGTGGTAACCTGGCCTTTAGCTGCTCTTTAAAGCTTAGGGCAAAAGTCCTTAGATACTTGCTGTTATTAACTAGTCTTATGACTTTGGACAAGTGTTTTATCCATCTTCCCCACTTACAAAATAGAGTTAGTAACCCCTGTGGTACCTCCTTCACGGAATAGTAGTGAGGCCAGAACGAGGTATATGTGTGAGAGTGTTTGGACAGTGAAAACACTATGTGGTGAAAGGTGAGTGTTCACAACAATGAATGTTTCTGTTATGGTTAGAAACTTATTTAAAATATGATAGCTTTTTTAAAAAATATGTTTTTATTGATTTCAGAGAGGGAGAGCAAGCGAGGAATAAAAACATAAATAATGAGAGAATAATCGATTGGCTGCCTCCTGCACATCCCTACTGGGGTACGAGTCCACATCCTGGGCATGTGCCCTCATTGGGAATCGAACCAGTAACCTCTTGGTTTATGATTCGACCTTCAGCCACTGAGCTGCACCAGCTGGGCATGATAGCTATTCTTATTTTATCTTGGAAAGCTGTTGCACTTCAGACAGCTTTAAAGATATTCTTAGTATTTTCATTTGATAGGGGAAGGAATCATCAATAGTGGCAGAGAAAATTGGGTTCTCTTTTGACAGGTAACAAGCAAAATGTAAAAAGAATGCAGTTAAAGTCAGGTATAAATTGCAGAGAGCCTGGCTGGTGTAGCTCAGTGGTTGGGCATCAACCCATGGTCCATAATTCGATTCCCGGTCAGGGCATATACCCAAGTTGCAGGCTCGGTCCCCAGTGGGGGGCATGCAGGAGGTAGGGGATCAAGTCGGTGCTTGTGCCCTGACCAGGAATCGAATTGTGACCTCCTGGTTCATAGGTCAATGTTCAACCATTGAGCCACACCAGCCAGGCAATAAAAATATATTTTAAAATATGTGGTGAATCTAAGATGAGCTTTGTTTAAAAAAAAAAAATACAGAGAAACTTCACAGTTGAATAAAGAGATAGGGTCCAAAATATGTATATAAAAGTCATTTAATTGGGGGAAGTTGGTTTGGGACGAATGTGTGTTTTAATAACGCAGGTTTAATTACTTTAAGAAGTGGATATCTGACTACACACGATTCATAAAATTTTTTACAATGTAATCACTGGAAAGAAAGATCCTTTATTTGGTTTTCATGTTCTTAGCCTGACCCCTCTGGAGGAAGTACTCTGAGTTACACACATAGATGTTTTTATAACCAGCTTTTTTTCCCCCAGATGACAAGAGAAAGTTTAGCATCTATAATAGTAAAAGCATAATGTGCTAATTAGCCCAGACTTCCTTCCAAACAACCTTCCGGAGGAAGCCAGGGTTGTGAGGGCTGAGGCAAGCCGCTGCGGCTGCGAGGGCCAAGCCCCTTGCACGAATTTCGTGCATGGGGCCTCTAGTTGGATAGTAAGTTGCAGTTTTACAGAAAATACAATCCAGATACCAATTTATCACATTTTTTGATAAATCCTTTGCAGGTATTTAATGAAGGTAGCGGTTTAAGAATACCACTTTAGGCATCTATTGCAACTTCATATGTTAATGACTGCCATTTAGGCTTCTGACTTGTTTGACTTCTAAAAGGAAGCAGCAGGATCTGTTTCCTCTCCACAGCAGCAGTGAACTACACCCCTATTGAGTTAGCAAACAGCTTGCATTGGAAAACCTTAAAGCCTTCCTAAGTAACAAACAGTTCAGGCAGCTGAATTGGGAATATGTAAGAGTTCAGGTGTTTTGTGTTTTCCCCCCAATATGTAAACAAGCATTAAACTGAAGTACTATTGTGTGTCAGCTACATCCCCAGCCTCTGGATCCTGGCAATGATAGGAGTTCAGCAATTAGGACCCCAGGTTGCACACCTCAGCATTTTAATACTCCTTTCTGTTCCAGAATTCAGAAGAAAACACTTTTATTGGGCTAGATTTCAGAAAAATGTTGGCAGTGCATTTCAGTATTTTTTGAAGGTCTCAGGAAATCTTTATGTTTTCTAAGTGTAGGGGAGTGGTAAAATTTACTTTTCTTTCAGTTTTATTTGCTCTCATTCCTTAAGATAATAGAAAAGCACAGTATTTTTCAATTATAAAAACTTTAGGGGATTTAAATTAAAAGCATAGTTACAATCTTTGGGAAGATTGTGTTGGGGGAAAAAAAACAACTATCCCTTCTATTACAGATCTTTTAGTTCTAGGTAAAAAAATAAATAAGTAAAAATAACCTAAGTCCTTTTCATAGTTACTACTAGAGGTAGATTTTGCCACAGATACCTATAAATTTAGAAGTTCCAATCTTTAGAGCAGGGATAAAAACGATGTAGTAACAGAAGCATCAAGGAAAAATCACTGGTTTTTGTTTCTCAAAAAAAAAAAAAAAAAAAGCACCCAAAATCTTTAAAAGTAAAGAGCAAGTTAAATTGCATTTTTTTTCTTAAAAATGTATTTCTAAGTTTCCTGGATTGGCTGCTTTTTATATTGGATAGTCTGACTTCACAATTGGAGCACAGTTTATGTCTGTCACACAGATTAATGTCACCATGCATGGCTGAAAGACAAATAATTTGTAATCCTCCAGTCTCAATTATAGTGAACCCTACACCTATATAAATTGGAGAAGAAAATCTGTGTGTTTTTGTTCTATGCATAGTTAGCATGTGGTCCTTCTAAGAATTGGAATAAGAATATTCAAATTGCTGAAAACAGTGGGATGGCTAAATGCTGCTTTCAGAGAATTATTGCCATTTGGTATCTGTTGACTATATCAGTGACTGTATGGTGGATACTGCCTCTCTGCTAGCAGTTAGAAGTAAAAATCTGAGCACCTTTATTTCTGCTAAAGAAAGGTTAAATTTGGAGGCAGCAACTGCTGGAAACTGGGGTGGTAGGAATCTTAGACATTGGGCAGAAATGAGTTTGACTAAAGTGATATTACTGCACTAACCCGCTCCCCTCTCAGGGTCAGTGCATGGCGCTGTTCTGGCTGCCGTCCTGAATCGGGCTGTTTCCAACAGGATGGTGGAGCACGAGGCCTCCTATCGCATAACTGCATCCAGAACAAGGTCTGTCGAAGAGAGAGCAACTTGCTGATCGCGGAGGGGGGAAATTTGTTCTGAGCAGCCCTTAAGAGTGATGCGAAGCCCCTGTTCCCTATGTCTGTACTGGCTGTGTTTTGGCTATAATTTGAAAAGCATTGACTTGATCTCCAAAGTCTTAGGCAGTTTGAGACTAAATACTAACCCAAATACTCCTTTTCTCAAACTGCTTTTAAAGACCTTGGATGCTTTCATCAGTAAGGTTGTCTGGGCTTGGTGGTACACAAACCCAGGGCAAAGACTTTCTTCTTCTTAGCTGTTCCTTGGTGCTGGTCATTCCCTGAATGTGGCTTGTTTGTATGGGTGCCCAGAGGACTTTAGACAGATGCTGCATTTTTCTAACAAGTAGATAATCCCCGATAAAGAATTGTAAACTACATGACAGGATGAAATGTTAATTATTCCATTACATGGGAGCACAACGTCCCTAAGAAACCAGTACTGCTTCAAGATCTCATTTTGCTCTTCAGAGACCTTGGTCAAATAGAATTCTTTTCCACAGTAGGCATGCTGAAAAAAGTGGGGGTGGGGTTGAAATCTGAAGAGTCTTATAAAGTATATGGTGAACCAGGTATGATTTGTGTAACCAACATAGCCTTTTGTGACAACTGCAATAGTGGCTGGAGGAAACAAGATGGACAGAAGTTTGCTGTGGTCTTTAAGCTGCAGTAAATGCTCAGGCCTAATGGCCCTGAATAAATCAGGGAGAGGTTGGTAAGATACTTTCCAAATCGGGCATAACTGAGGTTTTGTTGGATATTTGGTTTGGAAGAATTGGCAGGTTTGAATTGCTAAAATCTCATAGTCCCATTTAAAATAAATAAAATCTCACAGTCTTAGTAAAAAGTGGAAACTTTCCATTTCTGTATTAGGCAGGGGGCAGTTGTGCAGACAGAAGTAGGATGAAATTCGGTCTACCTAGTGTAAGTAGAAAGTGTTGACTGGTCTCTGAGGACCCACATTTTCTAGCTCTTATCTATATTAAAACTTTAACTGCTTTTGGAGGGGATTGCTGAAACAGGATCTCAGGTGTGTGTGTGTGGATGTATGTGTGTTTTGTGCCAACTAGTTTACTTTCATTTGGGGGAGGATAAAGAATTCTGAGTTATAATAAATCTTGTATCTATTTTCTCAAGGCAAAAGAATGCACGTGCAATTGTCTACAAGCCGCCTTCGGACTGCCCCTGGGATGGGAGACCAGAGTGGCTGCTATCGGTGTGGGAAGGAGGGGCACTGGTCTAAAGAGTGCCCAGTAGATCGTACGGGTCGCGTAGCAGACTTTACTGAGCAGTATAATGAACAGTATGGAGCTGTGCGCACGCCTTACACCATGGGCTATGGGGAATCCATGTATTACAACGATGCATATGGAGCACTCGACTACTATAAGCGTTACCGGGTTCGCTCTTATGAGGCAGTGGCAGCAGCAGCAGCAGCTTCTGCATACAACTACGCAGAACAGACCATGTCCCATCTGCCTCAAGTCCAGAACACAGCTGTGACCAGTCACCTCAACTCTTCTGTTGATCCCTACGACAGACACCTGTTGCCGAACTCAGGTGCTGCTGCCACCTCAGCTATGGCTGCTGCTGCTGCCACCACTTCCTCCTATTATGGAAGGGACAGGAGCCCCATTCGTCGTGCTGCAGCTGTGCTCCCCACAGTTGGAGAGGGCTACGGTTATGGGCCAGACAGTGAGCTGTCTCAGGCTTCAGCAGCTGCACGGAATTCTCTGTATGACATGGCCCGGTATGAACGGGAGCAGTATGTGGACCGAGCGCGGTATTCAGCCTTTTAAAAACTGGAGGTGAGAGTGGGGTAGGTGTGGTTAAAAGATCCCATTTAGTTCCCTTGAAAGAGACCCATGCTGTAGAGGGGAAGCTAAAGCCACCTGTTTGCTGTCAGGACATTAGTATCCAAAAAGTATAAATTACTTGTTAGAAGAAACTGAGTTTGTTAGTGAGAATCCTGTTATTTAAGTGTAAGCTAATCTGGGTTACAGAAACATAGTTAAGAGAGCTAACATTTGTTAAGTGCCCTCTGTATATATCATATCATTTCACCTACACAATAAGCCTTTAAGATATGTTGTTATACAGAGAAGGGAGCTAAGCCCCAGGTTAAGTACTTTGCCTGAAGTCATCTGGTAACTGAGAAGTAGAGCCAGAATTCAAACTCAGGCCTGGCTGATTCCTAAACCCATTATCTTTCCACTAAAGTCACTGTGGTATAAGCTGAAGAATACAGGTTCAGGAGTTAATAATGCATGTCACAGTGAGAATTTTAACTACACCTTTATAGACTTCCAGTTGGCTAATAAAAATACTACTTGGGTTATTAACCTTTATCAGAGGAACCTCTTCTAATATATAGCTATAAGCCAAATAAAGTTTATAAATTTTAGGTGTTTAGTTATAAGACAGTTGCTTGAAATCAGAGTGTTTTGATGCTACTGTCCCATGAAGTCCCTTATTAGTAATCCGGTGCGGCAGTCGCCAACCTTTTGGACCTCCGGACCAGTGGTTGGCGACCGCTGATCTGGAGCATCTCATTGTACATGGGCACGTAAGCTATCTCTGCATAGTCAGTGATACTTTCATGTTCAGCCTGATGCTTCCCTTTTTTTCCAGCAAGTTTTGTATGGTTTGGTTTGGTTTGAAAGGAACATTTAAGGACTAGATAAACAGGGTAATTTTTGATGTATATAAAATCCCACTGGTGACCCTGGGAATTTAATTTTTCCTACTTCAGAAAATGTATGCAAAGATGTTAGAAGGGCAAGAGTAATTAGATTGATAAGTCTCTTCAAGTAGAAATGGTATCATGACAACTTTCTATTCTGGTTTTCCTTGTACCTTGAAATTGAGATTCACTTGAATGGGAGGCCTAGTAGCAAAGTTAAAGTTAGTTACCACTGAGTTTCCAGGGTTCCTAACTTACCCCTTGGTATATGCGTAGAAGACAAAGCAGTAGGAACTGCCCTTTTTCATAGTGAGAAGCAAATTTGGCATGAACTTGTGGCAAGTGATACCCTTATGAGACCATGACAAGACTGGGATCTCCTGAGACCACTGGGCAGTACTGTGTTCATGTGCATGAAGTTGATAACCTTAACAACTTGTGTAGTTTGCCATTACTTTTTACTTTTAATACAGCTGAATCTGCCATGAAATGGGATATGCCTCTAAAATAAGGTGGTATTATCTGTCAGATAACTTCTTTCTCTTGAATGTTTCAAAGTTAAATATTTAGTATATGTGATCTTTAAAGGATATTGCCTAGTTATTTTAAAGTGAATTTTGAGTTCAAGCAGTGGTTGTTCAACTAACCTCTTTTTAACGATGACTTTTAAAGAAACTTACCTTCCAGGTGTGAACCTCAAATGGACTGAATAACCCTGAGTTGGTTGCAGTCCCAGGAGCCTGATGGTAATGAGGCTGCCAGGATGAAATACTCCAGAACTGTTGGGGATCCAATTTCGGGTCTCACTCTAGCAGAACTGATTCAACAACGTCACAGCTTTTGAAGTCCATTGGCACAGATCAAGACCAAGATTTGGCCCTTTGTCTGTAATAAGTAGAGGAGCTTGGTGTGAGTTAACTTTTTTTTCCCCCAGCCATTGGTGTCTGGAGCTTCCATCATCAATGGAAGAATTAGAGAATTTTAGGATTTCTTCTTTTGATTTGATAAGGGAGATATGGTCAATTAGGGGAACTACTAGAATTATGATTCTAAATCTATGACTGACCTATAGGTAATGTTGGAGGGTAAATAAACACTCCTTGATACCCTTTGTGATTGTTCCTTTTGAAAACTTAACTGTGAAAGATTAAGATGAAACAAATTTAGAATAAATAGAGCAGTTGGCCATATTTGAGATCTTAGCATCTTCTGCTTTTCCTGGACCCAAAAATTAAATTACAGTCTTTGGTAATGTCTGTATGCCCTTTGGTATAGTGAGAATAGCTGTGTATTACAGAAGTTGTCTTGCCTAAAAAATGGGCAAGAAAATGAGAAATACATATTTATCATCAACACAGCAGTCTTCCAGATAGATTGCTTCTAGTTCTATTATAGCTATAAGTAGATTCCTACATATAGTCGTAAGAGTCCTGGGTAATTACATGGGGTAGGTTTGATCCAGTCTGACTTGGTTTTGTTTTGTTCTTTGTTCTTTTCCCCCTGGAATACAGGACAGGACCAGGGCCCTTGTACTCGGAGCCAAGCTGCTCTCCAGGCACTGTGTAAGCCTCTTGTGTTGTGCTCTCTTTCAGGTAGGATAATTGTGGACTGAACCCTCGGGCTGCGGTCATATATGAGAACTTGCTTCACGCGGTCCCCTTTGCCGGGATGTTTCCATTGCTTCATGTTTCAGTAAACAAAGGAGTTTGTGACCAACTATGTTTTCTTTCTTAATTTAATTCTTCTAAGTTGACTTTTCTTTCCTCCTAATATGAGGGTCTGTAGCCTTTCATTCTATTCCTTATATTCTCAGCCTTTGAGCAGCACTAGGTAAGGATTATGCTGGCATCCCCTTTTTCCTATACAGTGGAACCCCTCTTATCTTGGTTTCCATAGGAGTTGAATCCTTCCTCCTGTCTACCTGAAACATCTCCTTAGCCTTTAAAATGACCATTTAGTGGCAAGCAACCTTTTCCTCTTCTGTTAGCGCTGGATTTAACATTGAAGCTAATCCTCTGAAATTGCTAGGACCACTGGGGTGGGGTTGGGGGGTGTTTTGTTTGTTAGTTTGTTTTTTTTTTTTTTATGTCTGACATGTGATCGTGGTACAGCATTTGCTGAAATTTAGCCTTGTTTTGCTCCACTCCTCCCATTTTTTAAAAATATTTTGACAAATAAACGTTTCTAACACTTAAGTATCTTTTTGTGTTTGTGTGAATGTTATTTACAACAATTCTGATTCTTTCTCAGTTGTGCTCAAACTACAAAATTCAAATGAATTCAAATTTAGATTTTAGAAGTATTTAGTGAAGTGTTGTAGCCTCAGCAGAGGATGGGGAGAAGTTAGCTAACTAGCTTTTTTAGACATTGTTAAATATGCTCCTCCTCTCTAAAAACCAGAGCTACACTTTCCACAAACCCAGGTCAGTAGTAACAGAAGTAAGCTGCACGGGGAGAACCCTGCATTGGGAAAAGGATGAGCCAGAGTATGACCAAGGACCTTTCAGGTTGATTCCATTTGACTTCAGAGTGTATGTTTGTTTAAATTCACTTACAAACTATTTTAAGAGTTCTCTTCCCATGGTGTTAATACTCTGCTAGGATTAAACTTTAGCTAAAATGAATAAGATAGTTGTGATAGGTCAAAAGAAGAGAAACGTCCTAATATTTTGAGCAGAAAAACGAGGATATTGATTGATGATGCTAACATTCTGCAATGAAATGTGTCCTCTAGATCTTTTTTTAACAAAAAGAGTTATAGACATTTTTATTACCATTACTTAGATCCCCATAAATAAACTTAATGACAGATTCAACCCTACTTAAGCTTTATTGTATCCTATATGGATGTTGACATGTAAATTCTCACTGTCTGCCCTGGCTGCTGTGGCTTAGTTGGTTGGGCACCTTCCTATGCACCAAAAGATTGCTGGTTCAATTCCTGATCAGGACATAAGCATGGGTAATGAGCTGGTTCCCCAGGTGGGAACATGCAGGAGGCAACCAATTAATGTTCCACTCTGGCATCAATGTTTCTCATTACCTGTGATTATAATTATATAGCATTTTCCCCACATATTTTATCCTTACACTTAAAATAATCCTGACATAGGTGAAGCAAAATTTTCTCCTGCTTTTTGGGGGTAGGATACAACAATCTAGAGAGGTTAACCTGTCAGTGCATATACTCCAATTAGTAGTGAAGTATACAAAGAATAAAGCAAAGATACTGGAATTTCCTTGTGATTGACCTGCAACATACCCTGCAAAGCAAATAAATATATACAGGTTTGCTGGCCTCACCAAAATCTCCGGTTCTCCTCTGTGCTAACTTAACAGTGGATTCTGCAAAAACGGTGCTACATCAATACTGTCCAGTATGACATTGGGAAATGTTGGAAGTGTTTTATATCTGTGAGGTCCAATTTGTAGATACCAATTTGTAGTATTTAAAATGTGGCTTGAGAAACTGAGCTTTAAACTTTTTTGATAATTAGCCACATGTGGTATTGAGGACTTGAAATGTGGCTAATGAAGCTGAGAAGTTGATAGTCTTACAATTTTTAAATCTTACAATTAACCAAATGTGGCTAGTGGCTACTGTATTGGGTGGTTTAGATCAGGGGTGGGCAAACTTTTTGACTCGAGGGCCACAATGGGTTCTTAAACTGGACCGGAGGGCCGGAACAAAAGCATGGATGGAGTGTTTGTGTGAACTAATATAAATTCAAAGTAAACATCATTACATAAAAGGGTACGGTCTTTTTTTTTTTTAGTTTTATTCATTTCAAACGGGCCGGATCCGGCCCGCGGGCCGTAGTTTGCCCACGGCTGGTTTAGATCAACAGTCACCAACCGGTGGTCCTTGGGCCACTGGTGGTCCATGAGGTCTGAAAGGTTGGTGACCGCTGGTTTAGATGGTAGAATAGGTTCCTTATGTGAGGAAAATAGCCTTGATGAATCATAAATTCTTTTTCCCTTAGAAAATCCTTTCATTCCTAGAGTAGGTAACACTGGGAAAAGGGTTAGCTTTTATCCAATGTAAGAAGACTGCTGAGTAGGAACAAATGTGTTAATTTCTAAGCCTCAGTTCTTAAATGAGAAATTGCATGTTGTGGGTACATTGACCATTTCAGAATCTACTGAGGCCCCTCACACTAAAAGCTCCTGAATTAATTTGAATTCCTACTATGAGCCAGGATTTGGGTGGTGAACAAGACATGTGGTTCCTAGTAGAGAAGCAAACCCTAATTACATCTGATAAATGCTAGGTAGGGACAAGGACAGGGTACTGTGAAAACAATAGTGACTATCTGTGCAGGGAGATGGAGGAGAGCTATGATCATCAGATCCCATCTCCCCCCCTTTCCATTTCTTGCCCAGCTGTGGGACCTAGAGACAAACCTGCTCAAGCTCTGCATTTAGGATCACCAAATCTCAAAGCTAAAGGGCCCTGCTAGGTTATTAAACAGTTCCACCACCTGACTGCTGAAGACTACAGGATGGGGCAAGACTCCAGCCCTAACAGCAGCCACCCACAAATCCTACCCCACGACCTGGTCCTATGCTGGCAGTGTTTCTGGAATGACTATTGACAGTGTACTAAGCCTGAATGGATAAGGCAGAGGTTAATATTTTACCAAGAAGAGCATACCGTTCAATGGCAGCTTCCATATATACATTTATCATCAAATGCCTGTTTTGTGTTAGGCACTGGAGCAATTAATTTTCTAACCCCTAAGGAAAGTATCCTATATAAAAGGCTAATATGCAAATTGACCAAATGGCAGAACGACCGGTTGCTAGGACACTTCACTGACCACCAGGGGGCAGAAGCTCAATGCAGGAGCTGCCCCCTGGTGGTCAGTGTGCTGCCCCTGTGGGAGTGCCACTCAGCCAGAAGCCAGGCTCGCTAGCGAGCACAGCGGCGGTGGCAGGAGCCTCTCCTGCCTCCATGGCAGCACTAAGGATGTCTGCCTGCTGGCTTAGGTCCGCTGCTCCCCTATGGCGGGAAGCAGGCCTAAGCCATCAGTTGGTCATCCCCCAAGGGGTCCTGGACTGTGAGAGGGTGCAGGCCAGGCTGAGGGATGTCGTGCACTGGGCCTCTAGTTAGCTAATAAAAAAGCAAAAAAATAGAGAAAACTACTACAAAGCAGACAAACTGGGTATACTGGTGGGGGAAATGGAAAAGAGCATTTTCTTACAGATTATCAGAAAGGGCCCTCTGATGCTTGATCCTGAAGCTAAGAACTGAAGGATAAATTAGCCCTAAAGTGATCTAGTAGAAGGTTCTCCCAGGTTGAAAGGCATTGAAGCAGGAGTTTGAGGACCTGAAAGGAGGGTCAGTATGGTTAGAGGTGGTTAAGGACCTGATATGACACAAGTGTGGGGTAGAGGCCACATTATGACCAAGATAGGGAATTGGCTTTTTATTTTAAGTACAATAGGGTATTACTGAAAGGTTCTAAGTTATGGAGTTGACTATCTGATTTACAGTTAATATCATCTCAACAACTGGAGATTAAATTGAAGAGAGGGAAAAAAGGAAATGATATGCCAAGAGGCAGTCACTGTAGTAGTCCTACAGGATGACTGTATGGTCTTGACTATATTGTGGCAAAGACATGAACAGAAGTGGCAACATTTGATACATGCTAAAGAATGGTTGGGGAATGAGAAACACGGAAGAGTCAAGGATAACTACTGGGAAGCACCTACATAGATAGTAATACCATTTAAACAAATGGAGAAATTATTTTGGAGTGGGGAGATTCAGGAGTTTTATTTCAGACAACAGGTTTGAGATATATTAAGACAACCCAGGAGAATCTCAAGTACGGCAGATCCTCATTCAAAGTTGTTTTAACATTAAAGAGAATGCTATAAGAACTTAACTACTTACTATCAATTAGCACATAAAACTGATTTCATTATAACCTATCAATTACATTAAGTGAGGACTTACTATAGGTCTTTGGATCTGTGAACTTTGAGTGGAGAGGTTTGAGACAAGAATGTAAATTTGAGCTTTCCCCATCCATATCAGCATTAGCCAATAAAAATATACTGTGAGCCTCAAATGCAAGCCACGTATGTAATTTGAAAAGCTCTAATAGCCAATTTAGCAAAGTAAAAAGAAACAGGTAAAATTAACTATGCTTTTTAATAATGTATTTTATTTGACTATTTCCAAAACATCATTTCAACATATAATCATTTTAAAAATGAGTATTTTACATCTTTTTCATACTGTTCTTCAAATCCCTTAGGTATTTTACACTCACAGCACAGTATGTGGCTATGACTATCATGTTGGGCAGCACTATTTCAGATGGTATACAAAGCCAAGGGATTGATAAAATCACCTAGAAGAGGGTTTCAGCCTTGGTACTACTGACATTTGGGACTGGATAACTTTGTGGGGGCAGGTGAGCTTATCCTGCAGGATGTTCATCAGCATCACTGGCCTACAATCCATAGGTCCTAGGGAAATGAAAGGAAGGGGTGGGGTGATTTGATGTGAAAATTGCAGAGGTCCAGTTTCTAGCACATAAAAAAACCCAACCAATGTCTGTAACATTATATAAGAGGTCTTCACTGTCTCTTCTTATATAATCAAGTTTTTCTCTTCTCTTTTGACCCTTTCCTCTTGACAACCAGTAGCATTTACTGATGACCACTGTCCTCAGAGAAACTTTAAATACCTGTTGGGACAGATCAGGGGGTTTCCAAATTAGAAGGAACCATGGGCCCTAACTTTAGCTCAGTGGATAGAGTGTCAGCCTGTGGACTCCAGGGTCCCAGGTTTGATTCCAGTCAAGGGCGTGTACCTTGGTTGCGGGCACATCCCCTGTAAGGGAGTGTGCAGGAGGCAGCTGATCGATATTTCTCTCTCATCGATGTTTCTATCCCTCTCCCTTTCTGTAAAAAAAAAATCAAAAATTTTTTTTTAAAAGAAGGAACCGTGGGTGCAGATTCAAGTATCAAGCTTTCATGGCCTCTTGGCCAGATACAGCTTGTTTAAGCAGAGAATAAAGTTTTGGGCTCGAGACACACATTTGGAAATATTTGTAATCTAGACAGTAAAGCCAAGGGAATTGAAGATACCACCTAAAGAGGAACATGGAAAAGAGGATAGAGCCAGATTCATTTTTATTGCCCCGAAAACGTATCAAATTTTTTTTTTCACCTTAAAAACTCAAATC